TTCATTAATTGGGAAGCGTGGATGGGGAATTAATTGACGAAGTGTGGATCGAACTTGACTCGTTAAAAATTGCTTGCCGATTGAGATATGCAGGTAAAAAAGGCCAGGATCAATAACAGTGCATCTCGAGTTAAAATAAATCTTCTTAGGAAGATATCATTATCTTTATTCAATAAAAGCCAGGCCTCAACAATTCACCAGCAGCAATTCCTCTTAAAGCGAAAAACTTTGCTTGGAATAAGGATTAAATACATGAAAAAAAAAAAAAACTAAAAAAAAAAACCAAAAAATGGCAGCATATTATTGAGTGAAAATAAGTGCAAATAAGATTGTTATTGAGTAAAAATAAGTGAAATGTTTTTATTTACGCATTTGATATTACACCGACCCCCATACACCACTTCTCTTAGTGCAATGAGGTAGGTGCTGCCATGGAGTTTCCAGTACTAGGAGCCTTCTTCCAAAACAAATGAGGAAGAACAGATACTATGCTTTGATCCCGGCCATGAGACGATTATTTAACTGACCTCACCTCTAAGGCTGGGTGTGATACAAGGTCGTTTTTTTTATGTGGGGTGCCAAGGACAAAAATGCCCAGTTCCAGATCCCACCGCTCCCATCACTTCAGCAGCACGTTCTTCATTGCACTTAGTGCAATGAAGAACGTGCTGCTGAAGTGATGGAATCCCCGGAACATCTCAATAAGAAGTAAACAGATACTACACTTTCATCTCGGCAATGATGTTTTGTTTATCTGAAACCTATTTCCTACGGGAACTACAGCAGACACGCCTAGTGTTGTTGAGAGCTGTGTCCCCACATTCTCCCCTGGTGGGTACGGGACTTATGTGAGTCAGTGAGTGATATGTTGTGAATGGAAAAATAACTAGGGTTATGCGTTTCCCAAAGGCAAAAGTACGAAAGTGAACATACGAGGTTCGAACTGGGTTCGCCGACTCTACATTCCGCGTCGAGAAAAATTTCGATAGCAAGATGTCATGATAAATAAGATGACCTTTAAAAGTAAGGAAAGCTTTGAATATGGATTAAGCAGTGCTAAAAATGTTCAGTAATTCTTTCAGACAAGTAAAGGAACACAAGCTATGTACTTGAGGCAGAATTTGCAATTAAATGAAGATAAATGATAGAATTTGAAACTTTAATCCAAGCCACGGACGTAATGATAATAAGCAGTCAGTTTTGTTTTGTTTTTGTTTTTGTTTTTGTTTTTGTTTTTTCATGTATTTAATCCTTATTCCAAACAAAGTTTGTCGCTTTAAGAGGAATTGCTTCTGGTGAATTGTTGCTTGGCTTTTATTGAATAAAGATAATGATATCTTCCTAAGAAGACTTATTTTAACTCGTGATTCATTGCTATTGATCCTGGCCTTTTATACCTGTATAGCTCACTCGGCAAGCAAATTTTAACAAGTCAAGTTCGATACACGCTTCGTCAATTAATTCGTCATCCACGCTTCCCAATTAATGAAATGACGCACAACATCAGTAATGTTTTTGCGCTTGGATTATTAGGGGGTTAAGGTATTTACAACGTCATACTTATATATTAAATGAATTCCGGTACTTCCTTAGGTATCAAGCGTGTTGCACGCTTGGGTGACCGTGTCTCTTTTCGATCCATGATTGACTTGGCAGAGGAATTCCCGCAGTAGGCTGCCGTTACTTCTTCAGTAGTCTATAGTACCCAGTATGTCCTGCTATTTAACCCATAGCTGGGGTGAGAAAAGATTAATTAATATCTTTCTCAAGAATATTTGTGCGTAAGTAAACGTAATGAATTCGAATTCGGCTTTCTGATTTCCAATCATGAGTCGTTATCGATCACACAAATCGAACATCGAAGCTTACAATACTTGGTATTCCCGAGAGGTCACCTATCTGCGTGCTGACCAAGCTGAGTTCTACTTAAATTTGGTGATTGGAGAAAAGAAAACTGGTGTTTCAACGTGATAAAAGCTTCAAATTTAGAATATTTCTGACAATCAAATTATCGTTGAAAGGATTTTAGAAGGTTTCATCTTTTATATTGCTTTATTAGGTAAAATTTCTACTTAATAAATGAACGAAATTTTGTCCAGCTCAATAAATTCATGTAAATTTAAATTGGATGAGGAATGGGAGATCGCTGTCGCAGACCCCAGCATTAAATAATGACCCATTCACCAAAACATCAGATTTACCATTCTTTCTAAGGTCACCGAAACACCACTAGGCTAAAAGCTACAACACATCTAAACACAGGTTCTCGTACGATCACCGAAGTCAGCGACATCGATCCTGGTCAGTCCAACGATGACCGTTTGTGAGCATGGATGTGCGGGTGGTGTAATGGATAATGGCTTAGAATTGTTAATAGGAGTTCTTTATATTCCCTTACGCGCAAATAGCATTGGAAAAGACTTGAATCCATGTTTTTTCTCTCCAGCTATGGATCGATTAATAAGACTTGTATCACTAAACCATTATTATACAAAAACAAAAAAAAAAAAAAACAAACAAAAAACAAACAAAAAAAAACAAAAAAAAAACAAAAAACAAACAAACTTAGACCTTAAAAATATTTTCAGCCTTTACATAACATGCAACAGGTTGATAATCCGGGAAAAAAACAAATCCAACATAAAATAACACAACAATTTCTCTTGAAGTCATAACTAAACTCCATATGTTCCATCTTTGTGAGTGTGGGTATAAATATAACATTTAAAAAAAATAGAACCCCATGTAATGAATGTATACCAGTACTTTATATAAATGGCGTTCACAACAAATGGCGTTCACAACATTAGCGGTAATATTTAATTTGCATCCAAAAAAGGATCTGCAATGTTATTAGTCCTGAACTGGCATCTTAGCTTCAGTCATTTTTCCACCGTAGCTTCTCTGTACCTTTTCTGTAAAAGAATTTTATGATAATTGTTCTGAGGAGCTTTCCTATATGCTTCCTCGACTTTATGAATTTAAACGCAGTACTAGCTTGGCGGCAAGGTCTCATCAGTAGCCGTAAGTTCTATGCTAACAGTTTCTGCCATTCATTTCCACAAGCATCTTCTTCTTCTACGTCTTCTTTCATCATCAGCATTTTCTTCATCTTCTTATTCATCATTGTCATCTTTTTTTTTTTACATTTTCTTCTTCATCTCCATCTTCTTTGGCATCATCGCCATCTTCTTGTCCATCGTCTTCTTGTTCATCATCATCATCATCTTCTTCACTATCTTCTTCTTCCTCTTCTTTTTCGTCTCCATCCTCATCTTTTTCTTCACTGTCTTCACTATCTTCATCTTCTTTTTCGTCTTCATCCTATTCTTTTTCTTCACTATCTACTTCATCTTCTTCTTCTTTTCTTCATCATCATCTTCTTCACACACTTCTTCACTATCTTCTTCTGCAACTTCTTGTTCTTCTAGAACTTTCTCTTCTTCTTCTACTACTACTACTACTACTTATTTTTCTTCTTCTTCTTCTTCTTCTACTACTTCTTTTTCATCTTCTTCTTCTTCTTCTACTACTACTACTTCTTTTTCATCTTCTTCTTCTTCTTCTACTACTACTACTTCTTTTTCATCTTCTTCTTCTTCTACTACTACTACTTCTTCTTCTTCTACTACTACTACCACCCTCCTTCCACCACCACCACCACCACCACCAGTCTCACTACTACCCTACTACCACCCCCCCTCCACCACCACCACCACCACCTTGTCCCTCCACCACCACCACCACCACCAGTCTCCACCACCACCAGTCCACTTCCACCACCACCTACCACCACCACCACCAGTCCCTTCCCCACCACCACCACCACCACCACCCTCACCAGTCCCACCACCACCTCCACCACCAGTCCCACCACCACCAGTCCCCACCACCACCACCAGTCCCTTCCACCACTCACCACCACCAGTCCCCACTCCACCACCACAACCACCACTTCCTTCCACCACCACTCTACTACCACCAGTCCTCTCCACTACCACATTACTACTTTTCTTCTTCTTACTACTACTACTACTACTTACTACTTTTCTTCTTCTACTACTACTACTACTACTTCTTCTTCTACTACTACTACCATTTACTACTACTAATTACTACTATTTCTTCTTCACTACTACTACTACTACTACTTTTCTTTCTTTCACTACTATTACTACTACTACTTCTTCTACTACTACTACTTCTTCTACTACTACTACTACTTCTACTACTACTACTACTACTACTACTACTACTTCTTCTTCTTCTACTACTACTACTACTACTACTACTTCTTCTTATTATTCTTATTCTTATTCTTCTTATTCTTCCCACTCCTCGTTCTGCCATCCATTTACACAAGCCTGTTACGTAGTTTACTCGATGTTCTTCTTCTCAGTCTTCGATAGAACCACATCTGCGTTAACTCACGCCTCTTCTTGATCTGTGAGGAAATTGTCCAGCGTTCACTGCCCTATAGGAAGATCGATATTCCATAGCAATTCAGCAATTCTTCTGTTTTATTTTTAACGTATTTGTTCCTATTTCTCAATACTTTGTTTATGTTTTGGAAGGCTGCTTTGCAAAAGCACCGGCGGATTCTTTTTCTAATTTTCTGTCGTCCGTCCATCGTATAAAACAGATGATCCGTGTCGGTTGATGTTGAATATTACGTACGCTTTTATTTACTAACGTAAATGTCAAAAGTCAATCCACTTGAGCTTTTACCAGGGAATATCGTTTACTTGCTAAGTTTTTAGTTGCCTATTTTCATATGTAATATTCTTGAAAAATTAGAAGTTGATCCTTATAAACATGACGGCAGCTTATTCAATTCGAGGGGGACTCTTGTTTTTAATTTAGAAAATTAATTACTTTTTTTAATTAAAAACAAATATGATTTGAGAGAATTTTTATCGTAGGAAATGTTTTATTATTAAACTACTGTGGACAACATTACAACCATCAGATTCGTTAATAAGTGTAATTTTCATTTCCTTTTAATATAGCGAGTGAGTGAAAGAAAGAGAGAGAGAGGGAGGGAGAGAGGGGGGGAGTGCACCAAAAGGTGACGCTGGAGTACAAATGTACTAAGGATATACCAAGAATGTGCATCACAGTCAAATTTTGCGCCATAGGTTCTGATAAAAACAATGCATAAACTTTCAGGTTCTGCACAGTTAAAAAAAAAAAAAAAAAACAGTTTGCTCAGAGCGTCCCCGACTGAGAGTGATTCCAAGTATCTAGATGTGGCTCCCAAGTCGCCTTGGCTGTCTTCAACTTTGCAAAAATACAATCCTCTCGATAGCCGGTCGTGATGCTCCTGCACTACGCCCGATCACAGAGATGTCTCAATCCCTAAACAGTCACCCCAACTGGTTAACTTTCAGTCAATTGACAAGCACCTCTGTATACGAGTTACCACCCTCCAAGATCAGAAATCATAAAATTAATGTTTGGAGTAGTATCAAGGTATTTTATCTTCTTCTTCTTCTTCTTCTTCTTCTTCTTCTTCTTCTTCTCATTATTATTATTATTATTATTATTATTATTATTTAGATGCTATGGTCATACTACCTACCAAGTCTGTGGAGGACCTAAAGCAAGGAGTGGTCTGTTGTCATGGATACATTTCATGATTTGGTTTTCAAATAACATCACTATGGTTACATGGACAAAGTTCTTAGTGCCTGGGCTGTACTTACAAAGGCATTTTTTTGTATTTCTCTTAAGCTGAGACTTTCATGGATGTTTTCAATGTGTTGTAGTGTTCCATTTTTTATCATTCCAAGCGCAACTACTATGGCTGGTAATATTCTTGTTTTCAATTTCCACATTTTTTCTATTTCGATTTCCAGGTCTTTATACTTCGATAGTTTTTCAAATTCCTTGATTGCTACGTTACAATCAGCTAGCTGGGCAAGCCATATTAATTATTAGACAATTTTTTTTTCTTTTCCGTTTTTGGCAATTATATCCGGCTTATTTGCTACAAACTTCCTGTCTGTAAAGATGGTGTAATCCCATAGAATTATGATGTCTTCTGTTTCTGTAACCGGTACTGGGTGAGGTTCTTCATACAAGTGTTTATTAACATCTTTTCCAAAGTGTTTGCACATTGTCCAGTGTAAGTATTGCCCCACTCTATAATGACGATTTTTGTATTTATTTAGCGCAAGTAGAGAAAATCCTGAGATTAGATGGTCTATGGTTTCGTGATATTTGTCACAGAACCTGCATTTGAATGAATATATATATATATATATATATATATATATATATATATATATATATATATATATATATATACTAGCAGTATGGCTCGGCGTTGCCCGTGCTTGATTCAAAGATCGTACGACTCATACAGCAATTGCTATCACTTGACTTAAAATATTTTTGCCCTTCCCTGCCTTTAAACGAGTGCCCTTTTCCGTGCTGATGTTGCTACATGCCTTACTTCTTGCCTATCTCACACTGCGAATTTTTTCTAAGCTCTATACTAAACATCTGCTACGAAAAAAGAACTAAACAAAATGAACACAAAACGATCAGCTTTAAAAAAGGACTCGTAACTGGAAAAACCGAATGAAAAAAGAATGTTAACAACAAATACTTTTTCACACCCAACCCAGTTCTGCGGAATCAGAATCAACATTGAGTTTATGCAAACGAATGAGCCAATTGGAGTAAAGTGCTATGCAGATTTCAATTTTTCCCGCTTGTGACGAATGCAGCCATCGATTTTTTATTTGCATGCTAGCATGCTAGTTAACATTGGTGTCAGTCAGCTGTTGGCTCTCACGCTGGCCAATAGAATCTTCCTGCCTATTCGTGGCAGCCAGCTATAGGCTCTCACTCTGGCCAGTACAAAATGGCCGCAAACTATATGAAAACTGCCGTAGAAGATTATTTCCATTATCGATGGGAGTTGGGAAATGAAAAGTCGGTCTTGGCCTTCTCCGCTAACTTGGAGCATGTGCATGTAAATGTTGGTGCAAATCCGTCGAAAATTGCGGTCGTGCATTCGTTACACACACACACACACACACACACACACACACACACACACACACACACACACACACACACATATCCTGCCTTATATATATATATATATATATATATATATATATATATATATATAATAACAAAAAATCGTGTAAAAGCAAAATTGCCAATTTGTTAGATTAAGCTTTGAACTCTTGTATCTTAGAAATGCTTAATTCTCCAATGTTTTTCATAACTCGATTGAACTCTCCTTTGAGCAATAACAATGTATCATTATTCATAAGATGAAGAATCGTGATGAAATCGATCCCAAAGAAAAATGTCATGTTTACGATTAATTAATCATAGCTAAGGATCGGAAGCTCATGAAGGATTGATATAAAGTTCATATATAAAGATATTATTCTAGAATCATTTTCCAACATATTCAAGATGATCTTCGCCCTCCTTAACCTTTTATACATAGAGATATTTGACTGAAAGTTTCTAGTGAAAAGACTCTGGTCTTGCACTGCAAGAATAAAGCCTTCTCTTCCGTTTCAGCCTTTAATCCAGATCCTCCTAATCATCGATGAGTGTTAACTTTATCAACATCGGCTTTATTAGAACGTTCTTCGTCTTTTTTTCTTCTTCTTCTTCTTCTTCTTCTTATTATTATTATTATTATTATTATTACGGTAAAAAAACAACAAAAAAAAAGAAAAAAAAAAGAAGGGAGCTGAAGGGAAAGAATTAGCTGGAGTCAAAAGAATTTACAATCATAGCAAACTACACACAAAAAGTAACATTTAAAAGAATAAATGCTACATTTACCGTTTCTTCCGACATCGGAGCATGGCAAAAGTGACTTTCCACAAATGTTCAATTTTCCGTCGCCAACGACAGATACTTATCAAATTTTATGGGGTAGGCTGGACTTATACTACAGATTGGTAGGTGGGTGGATATCAAAGAATTCATTAAACAAAGGGGTAGAAGCAAAACAGTAAAAGTTATACTTTTCCGGTCATCTCTCAGCCTACTAGCCGCTAAAAGATATATTTTTAAATTTTCACTCAAAGACATGATAGTCAAAGGGCAGAGCATTGTACGAAAATCACACCTGAAGCCATGAAAAGATAAAAATAAATACAATATGATCCCTGTCAATGCGTATACATACACATGTAAATTATATATATATATATATATATATATATATATATATATATATATATATAAAATTGAAAATTATAATGTTTTATTTTTATGAAAGTATTTATTTATTTATATATATATTTGATATTTCAAATTGTCCTCAATTTTCATCAGAAATAACTGTGTGTATATATATATATATATATATATATATATATACACATACATAGAGAGAGAGAGAGAGAGAGAGAGAGAGAGATATTAAGAAACATGTACACATATACGCAACGACAGAGATTTGGGATGCGTAAAGTAAGAGAGAAAAAGTGAAAAATAAAGTGAAAAATGGACACGGATGTCCGCTTAAGGTCGGTGGGGGGACAGAAAATTTGAAATATACGGTAAAAAAAACAACAACAAAAAAAAAAAAAAGAAGAGGGAGCTGAAAGGGAAAGAATTAGCTGGAGTCATTATTATTATTATTATTATTATTATTATTATTATTATTATTTCCTTTGATTTCTGTTATATACACATTTCCTTCCGGGTCCCAACCAGAGACCTAAGGTTAAAACTAACATCATGCCATCTCCCACTGATCATTTTTTTTTGTAAAACAACCCTGCCAAACATAAGATCACACACATATTACATAGATAAAGCCCTTCATAAGGTGGGAGCTATACTCGTGAGTACAATCTGGCTACTAGGAATCCCTTCAATGAGTCTATCGGAATCATTTCCAATCAAACCGAAGACTCCAACTTTAACTAGAAATATTGATGTCCTCATGTGTCACATTTTTTTACATTTCCACATATTTTTAGATTTCCACTTTGCAGTTTGATAGTTCTTTGAAGATCTTCAAAGATATATTACATTATGCAGAGACTGCCGAGTGAATAAGGAAAGCACTTTCTGTTTTTGTGGTCTTTGATCCCAATGTCTGGGCGATTAACTTTGATTCTTCTGACTGTGAGTACCGTAAAGTCCCATAAAATTGTTACAGGCCCCAAATCTGTAACGGGGTCTGGATGGTGTTCATACCAGTTTCTTGTAGTTCCCTCCTCATAAAGATTGCAGATTTTCCAATGCAGATATTCACCCAGTCTCCTCACATCATCATCCTTCTCTTTTTCTTCTTCTTCTAGAAGATAGAAACTGAGATAGGTAGATACTGAGATAGATAGATAGATAGATAGATAGATAGATAGATAGATAGATAATGAGATAGATATGAAGATATATATATATATATATATATAATGTGTGTGTGTGTGTGTGTGTTTGTGTGTGTGTGTGTGTGTGTGTGTGTGTGAAAAGTGTATATAAATATAAATAAAATATATATGTATAATTATTTATATATTATATGCGCGGTACTTATTAGAAAGCGCTCAATATCAATATATATATATATATATATATATATATATATATATAGATAGATAGATAGATAGATAGATAGATAGATAGATAGGTAGAGATTGAGTTAGATAGATGCTGAGATACTGAAATACTGAGATAGATAGATAGATGATAGATAGATAGATAGATAGATAGATAGATAGATACTGGAAATACTGAGATAGATACTGAAATACTGATATAGAGAGACTGAGGTATTGAGATAGATAGATAGATAGATAGATAGATAGATAGATAGATAGATAGATAGATAGATATTGAGTTAGATAGATAGATACTAAGATACTGAATTACTGAGATAGATAGATAGATAGATAGATAGATAGATAGATAGATAGATAGATAGATAGATAGATAGATATGAATTACTGAGATAGATAGATAGATAGATAGATAGATAGATAGATAGATAGATAGATAGATAGATACTGAATTACTGAGATAGATAGATAGATAGATAGATAGATAGATAGATAGATAGATAGATAGATAGATAGATAGATGAAAACTGGGAGAAATGGATTGATAAAAAGCATGAGATAGATAAATTAGAAAGTGACTTATATATATTTTAATTAAGCAGGGAAATAAAGTCACTAAGACGCAAAAGGTTATCAAGTATGAAAGAATATGAGAAAAAGGAAAGCATTATTAAAGAGAGAGAACAATCAAAGAACAGAAATTAAGAAGGCAAAAGATAATGATTGAAGATCAAAGTTTACTGAGGCAAGAAGAGGCTTCCAGAAGTGTAGTGCGAGAGAAGAAACTTACGGTTACATCTAGCCATTTTCACAGTAATACTGCACTTCGCTTGTTTATCTCATAAAACATGACGCTCTAAAAACAAATTATTTAAAAGATATTTTAATCTGAAACTCGTACGATATATTATCATATATCGTGTGAGATTAGTAATAACGCATATATTTATATAATAATATCAGATCGGGAATAGATCGCTTTGATTGTCAAGTTGGTCGTCTTGGAGAGACTGATGATTAGAAGATGGGTGTATAGTGTCAGTCTACTAATCAGTGTTGGAGTAAAACCAGCAACTGTGTGTGTGTGTGTGTTTCTGTGTTTTTTTTTTGTGTGTGTGTGTGCGTGTGTTCAGTCGTTTGAATAGAGCCTCGTTCTCAATCCACACCCTTCCTCTCGAATAAAAAAAAACAGACATGTCCGACGCTACTGATGAAATATGTGTATCAACTGAAGAAGTTAAAAATATATTTTTTGTTTGTGTGTGTATGGGCTTTGGGGTTTTTTTTGTTTTTTTTTTAGCGTTGATAGTCGAAACAAACGCCAACTCCAGCCCAGTTCAATTCTCTGCCCACTGTAAATGGCATTTTTATCAACTCCGAGATCGGTGGACATTTCCCTGTGGTTACCGTATCAAGATGCCTAAGTTGGACATTCTTTCTAAAAATGGTCAGAATGGAAATCAATCTCTGTCATTCTCGTCATTGATGTCATTCTCATATGACTTTCTTTTCCCTCTTTCTTCCTTTCTTTTTCTCTTTCTTTTTCTCTTTCTTTCTTTCATTCATTCTTTTTTTCTTTTTCTCTTTCTTTCTTTCTTTCATTCTTTCTTTCTTTCTTTTTCTCTTTCTTTTACCCTCTTTTTTGTTTTTCTTTCTTTCTTTCTTTCTTTCTTTTCCCTTTTTTCTTTCTTTCTTTTCCCCTCTTTTTTGTTTTTTTGTTTGTTTCTTTCTTTCTTTTTCTTCTTTCTTTATCTTCTTTCTTTCTTTCTTTGTTTTTCCCTCTTTCTTTGTGCCTTTCTTTCTTTCTTTCTTTCTTTTCTTTCTTTCTTTCTTTCTTTCTTTCTTTCTTTGTTTTTCCCTCTTTCTTTGTGCCTTTCTTTCTTTCTTTCTTTCTTTCTTTCTTTCTTTCTTTGTCTTTCCTTTTTTTCTTTCTTTTTTCTTGGATGCTTGCTTTTCTGGCATCAGCACTTTTTAGTTTATTTTCGCTATTTCGCGGCTCAATTTTTCTCCCCGAAAAATGACATTTTTCTTTATTCGTTATTTTCTTCTTCTTCTTCTTGGTGGTGGTGGTGGTGATGGTGGTTCTGGTGTTGGTGGTGGTGATTCTGGTGGTGGTGATTCTGGTTGTGGTGGTTCTGGTGGTGGTTCTGGTGTTGGTGATTCTGGTTGTGGTGGTGGTGGTTCTGGTGGTGGTGGTTCTGGTTGTGGTGGTGGTGGTTCTGGTGGTGGTTCTTGTTGTGGTGGTGTTGATTCTGGTTCTGGTGTTGGTTCTGGTGTTGGTTCTGGTGTTGGTGGCGGTGGTTCTGGTGGTGGTGGTTCTGGTTGTGGTGGTGGTACGATGCACGTAATTGATGCTTTACATTGAAAATTTAACAAATAAATGTCTCTTCAACATTCCACTACCCTCCTTAGTATTTTATTTTCTATCATCTGGATGACCCAGACTCTTCTCCTTCTTCCAATTCCTCTATTTTTTTCTTTTACTCTTCAGGATCGTTTACAGTCGTCCGACAACTACTGGTACGACCCTCACCTCTTCCAAATCTTGAACGCATTTATACGATCCAATGTGAAAGATGCAGGGAACTCATTATAGCGACCCGGAAATCACCTGGCTTCTCTTGACATGCTTCATCTTTAGAAGAGTCATCAGATCAAAAATTGAGCATTGCTGTTCTATCTCGGCTGGAGCTATCAAATTCCCCGCTTTGCAGAGATCAAAATCGTTTACGCGGTCTTGTGGATGATGACTTGGTTTTCAATTTGCAGCCTCTTTTCCCACAGACACAGCGTTGTAGGTTTTCAGCTACTCTATCGCTATTTCCATGGCAAATGTTCAAATGAGCCCCACTCTTCAGTTTTACAAATTCAGGCATTTACAGTTAGGATACGCCAAGCTACTTTCATGTAATCGAATAACCATAATTTCCTCTATATTCCAAATATAAGGAGGAAGTTCCACTCAATTTTATCCCAAGAACTACTACTTGGTAGAACAGACTCCCGCGAGGATATTTCCCTGAACACTGCGACCTTAATCTCTTCTTATGAAGACTTAATCTGAATATTTTATTATACTCAATTCTGTGTTGTGTTTTCTCGCCATAATCTGTCTTACATATTTATAAGTCTATCATTCCATCTTTCTTTCTTTCTTTCTTTTACCCACTTTTTTGTTTGTTTTTCTCTAGTCCCTGCTATATATTTAGAGATTCTTGATGAAATCCAAAGAAGAATTTGTAATGTTATTAGTCCTGACCTGACATCTCGGCTTCAGTCACTTTTTCACCGCCGTAACGTAGCTTTCTTGTGACTTTTCTATAAATATTTTCATGGTAATTGCTCTGATAAGCTTTTTCCTTTGGTACCTAAACTTTATGAATTTAAGCACAGTACTAAATTGGCTGCAAGGTTTCATAATCTTACAGTTGAAATGGCTCGATACAATCGTAAATTCAGGCTAACTGTTTCCTCTCTCGCACTTTTCTGCATTTCAGCATGTCGGCTTGGTAATTTCTAGTTAGCAAACAATGGTCTGGAACTTCTGCTATATACCTCGAGATTCTCAAGAAAATCCAAAGAAGAACCTGTAATATTATAGGTCCTGACCTAGCAATTCGACTTCAGTCACTTTCCCATTACTGTGACGTAACTTCTGTCTGTCTTTTCTATAAATATTTTCATGACAATTGTTTTGATGAGCTCTCCTTTTTTTGTAAAATAATTTAACTAGGGTATCTATGCTCATTGGCCCCTTTTATTTCTGTCCCCATTTTTTCTTTGGTTTTATTTCCCATCCCCTCCCTCGTTAGGTGGTCAGTGATGTCAGTTCTCTGGTGGATGCGGGGCGCCTTTCGTTTCCGGCGTATTTTTTCGTATTTGTTGTGCTTGAATTAGTGGGTGTTTGAGTTAATATTGTAGACAGCTTTCGGATAGATAGATAGATAGATAGATAGATAGATAGATAGATAGATAGATATGAAAAGAGTAAGATACATAGATAGATATGAAGAGAGTGAGATAGATAGATAGATAAGTAAGTAAGAGATAGATAGATAGATAGATAGATAGATAGATAGATAGATAGATAGATAAGTAAGCTTGGGATGAATGAATGTCTTATATTATTAAAGTCCTGCATTAATTTCGTCCAGTGAACTGACGTTTCTGCCACATTTAAGGTTTGTGGGGGTTTAACATTATTTTATTTGGTTTCTTGTAAATAGTTTTGTTTTCATATCGTAAATACTCGTTGGGGCTAGTTTTTAATTGTCGTTTTATTCCTCTCCGACCATAGTCAATGAATTGTACATATGGGGACTATTTAGGATTTTCATAGAGACAATGTGGTATTATGGTGAATGTAGTAAGAAAGGTAAGTAAGAATGCGTTGTTTTGGTGTTAGGAATATTGTTTGTATGTTTGGGCCAGTGTTTGTGGTTAGCTAAGTTTAATATTAAGACAGAAGAAGACCGTCCTTTTCCCCATTCCCCATTTTTGGCCTTCAGTTACATTTTCTGTTTTAATGCTGAAATAAATAGAACTCTCCTTTTTTGTAAATCGACCGCATCAATTTTAACTGTAATAATAGCTTGCCAACCAGGTCTCAGCGTTTTACTGTTGAAATCGATAGATGAACCTAAAGTTCTATTCTGACAGTTTCTTTTCTTGCATTTCTTACATCTGGAACTCTCTTTCACTGTCTTGCGTCTCTGCCACCTACGTTCTTCAAATATTTAGAAGCAATACCAATCGTCATCTTTCTTCAATAATTCAGTTCTTTTATTGTCCTTTCTTCTCACTAGCGTTTTCACATTTTCTTTCTCTCTCAGTAATCCTTGCGTCTTAGTGGCTTTGTTACCTTGCTTGGGGTGAAACGATTAAAAAGGAAATATCCTAAGAAGCTACAATTGTGAAAGCAGAAAATATAGAAAATATTTTTAAAAGTAACGAAATATAAAAAAAAAAGAAAAAAAAAAGGAAACCAACCAGACTAAGATAAGTGTAAGTTTAGTGAAGAAGTGTCTAAAAACTGAAATCTTAAAATAATTTTTAATGATTAATGTAGAGCTACATTGGTTGAACCTGATGGTTGGGTAAGAGTTTTGTATCCTTCAACACATTTTAGAAAAGAGCTGGATGTAAAATGTGTAATATTTTCTGTTAATATTGTAGTTCGGTTTTTGATAGATAGATAGATAGATAGATAGATAGATAGATAGATAGTGAAAATAATGAGATAGATAGATAGATAGATAGATAGATAGATAGATAGATAGATAGATAGATAGATAATGAAGAGAGTGAGATAGATAGATAGAACTATCTCTATCAAAACTGGGAGAGATGGAGTGCTAAAAATCATGAGATAGATAAATTAGAACGTGATTATATATATATATATATATATGTATTTAAACAAGCAGGGCAATAAAGTCACTAAGAC